CCCCCCCCCCCCCCGCCAACATTCTCAGGGAGTTGTACACAATGCTTAGTGCACAGGCACCCAAGTGCTTGGGGAACGAAACTGGACTGAACAAAACAAACAGAAAGAAGTGGAGGGATTTTAAAAGAGCACATGCACAGACAAGCACACATACAAAGAGGAAGAGGAAAGCAGATAGCAGCGCTGAGAGTTTAAACAGCAAATCCCAAGACCTTTGACCACCCCAGACCTCAGGCAATGAGGCTGGCTGGTCTATGGCTTTCTCAAGAGCAGCCAATCGAAGCACCGCTGGACAGAGTCCTCATGGCAAGCTGATCGTCTCTCGGAGTGAGGGAGCAACTTGCTAGCTTGAGAAACCCCTCCTTTTTTTTTTTTTCTGGATCCCAAAGGTAGCCAGCTTGAAGGACTGAAGGGCTGGTGATTCCAAACTGGAGCCATTTGGCTAGGATTCAACCACCCATTCATGCCCTCCTGGCCATGAAAGCTGCCACTGTACCCAGGCATGGGGGCAGAATCCCCACAGCTCCCCGCCACCCGAAGCCCATACCCACACTGCGCTGCCGGCTTTTGGAAGGGAGAGAGTGAGTTCTACTCTCTTTCTTCTTTTCTGTCCTCCCCCAGTGGAAACCAGTCTGCACTCTTCCAGCAAGTTCAGACTGTCGGTGTAACAAACGCTTGCGCGGGAGTTCAAGCTGTTAACCGGTATGCTGATAGTAAAGTTGAAACTGTTCTGAAAAGAGTCTGAAAATCAATAGACCCTTCAGGTGGCCACTTTGCCCCCCTGTCCAATTGATGCTGGGGCCAAATAGAATTACAGTAGACATTTAGATTCTTTTTCTTTGAGATGGAATCTCTTTCGAACTTTTTCCCATTTCCCAAAAGACAAGCCAGCGGCTGTTCGCAGCTGCCATGATTTGGCGACTGCAGTCCCTTATCCCGCTCTGCTGCATTTTTATTCTGGCACGGTCCCCCCTCGCTGGCTCTCGGAAGGGTAGAGGGGACAAGTCCCATGCCATCCCTCCCATTTGCCTTAATGCCCATGTCCAGTACAGGGGCAAAAGGATCTGGCCGAGAATATTCACCTGGTGTGGGAGGGGCAGTTAGTGGTTAGGGACAGGGATCCCAGTAGCCATCAGCCCATATTTTTCCAGCAAATCTGGGCTCTCTCTCAAGGTTACAAACGCTTTCGCATGAGCATGCTCGGTCCACCTGCCGGCTCGTCGGAAGAAAAGCTGCAGCTGCAAAATGATTTGGAAATCAACCGACCCCTCCGGTGGCCACCTTTCTCCCCCATCCAATTTACATTGGGGCCAAAGAGAACTGCAATATTCCTGTAATTCCCTCTTTGAAATACAATCACCTTTAAACCGATCCCAGTTATCTAGAATGCAACTCAAGGGTGTACTTGTTTGGGGTGACTTACCCTGTCCTGTGATGGGCGCTGAGCGTTCCCCAGAAGACCTGTAGAAGGATTTCAGCAGACCTCTCTGATCTTCCTTCCACCAATTCTGCCAGGCATCCCTGGTCAAAAGTGCTCACGCGCTAAGGCGGGATCCGCTCCCCCCGGACTCAGACCGGGGTAATATACCAAAAAGAGTTTCCAAAACAACCCCCTTCCGCCCAAGGAGCTCCCCGATTCTACTCGAACTCGCCTATTCCCATAGTGTTCAACTCAGCTCGGGAGTCACCGGCCGTCAGACAGGGGAGGGCAACTTGCTGACCTCTTGGCAGCACCGGCCTCTAACCGGAGACCCTTTTCTTTTTCCTCTTTTTGAACCGGGTCTTCCCCGAGCAGTTAACTCTTTTTACCAGAGGCTTTTTCTTACCTGGGAGCTCCTTGTCTTGTCCAGGTTGGCTCTCTCGGTCTCGTTTCCCTCTCAGCCACCCTTTCCTCAAGCCCTGCTCACAGCTGGTGGAGGCTTCCGGCCAAATTTGCCGCAGCCCAAATGCTGAGGGAGAGCTCTCTAATGCTGGTCGTCCACCCGTCCGAAAAGAGGCTCTCTGGGGGAGGAGGCTTAAGAATTTTTAGGCAAAATTCGCCTTTAGTTCACTCGGTGTCCCATGCTGGGCGCCAAAACTGTGACTGGACTGAGCCAGTCAACGGCTGGGGCAAACCTGGGTGGACCCCAGACCTGAGCCAAACAGAGCCTGAGACGAGACTTGGAGCCAAAATCAGCTTTATTCTAGTGCACTATAAAGGGAGACAAAAGGGGACATTCAGCCCAAAGCAGTGTCTCAAAAGTTGCACCCCAGTACATGCGTTTTATACCCTAGGTAACCGATTAGGTCACCTAACACACATCTAATGCATCGATACAGCAATGTATGCACCCCTCCCGTGAGTCCTTTCTTCTGCCAAGGACCAGACAGTTCCCATGCCTATTTCTTATCCGCTCGAGATTCACACAGGCCTGCCATGTTCTTACTCCCTGCACATTTACAACTTCCATGGCGGCTGCAACCAGTTTCCACTGTCCCTTTGATTACCGTATTCGAGGTCAGGCTAGCGTGTTAGCTGTGGGTTATTTATTTAGAAAATTTCTATGCCGCCTCATTCACCGAAGCCTCGGGGCGGCTCACAAATATATCAATTAAAATATAATACAATAAAATATAAAACAAGTTGACAATATAAAATAAGTCGCCCTGGCCGAAGAATAAAATAAATAGTATTAACAGTTAAAATGACGTTTGAATAAAAAGGTCTTCTACACAAAGTTCATTTTGTTTTTATCCCCCCTCCCTGCTGGGACAGTGTAACTGTGGTGTTTTTACTATGTGGCCTTCCTCTGGCCAACTACTTTTGGGGCCTTTCTCTGGCCAATTACCCTTGGGGTGTTTTGGGGTGCTGCAATTGGTAACACAATGAAGGGGCAAGGAAGGGCGGGCTTAGGGCATTCGCTGATGGCCACCCGTGCGGAAGCCTCAGGGAACGGAGCCAATGCCCGGGCGGCCACGGTTACTAGTCCTCAGGGCGCCTGCGTGCCCAAGCTGCTGGGGAACATGGGCGCGAGGGTGCCGCGGCGCTCGGCCACTGCGGGCGCAGCACAGCGCCGGTCCGGGCCGGAGGACCCAGCGAGGGGTGGGGGGTCCGGGCAGAGCTCGGCCTGCCCTCCCTTCCAACGGCTCCCGCACCACCCTCGCGAGGCGCTCGCCCAATGGGAGCGTGCGGCGAGAGCAGCGGCGGCGCTCATTGGCTCTGGAGCGGGCAAGCGCCCCGCCCCGCCCTTTCATTCGCTCGCTCTGTTTCGCCCTCGCGGGCGCGCGTCCGCGCCTTGCTCCCTCTTTTCTAACGTCTTCGTAGCGCGCCGCGCCGCGCGCCGGCCCCTCGCCCCGCCCCGCCCCTTCTCCCTTAGAGCGAGTCCCTAACAACGAGGGGAAAAAGCGGGTCGGCGGGGCGCATGCGCCTCGCCTCGCGGCTGCTCGCGGGGGGTGGGGGGCGCGCGGAGAGGCCGCTGGCTGCCCCCGAGTCGCTTCGGCCATGGACGGGCCCGAGGAGGAGGCCGGCCAAGTTGCTGTGAGTATGGGGGCGCGGGGGGTCTCGGGGTCTGAGGCACTTCAGCCCCCCATGCCTCCCATTCGGGGACCGTGCGGAGGAGGGACCCCCAGTGCGAGCCTCTGCTCCCCCCCGGCACTCTTCGCATTCCCAGGGCTTCCTCGGATCAAGCTCCTCTCCTGGCTCCAGCTCGGAAGTGGAGCTTTTCCGAGGTAGCCGCTCGCTGCCTGTCCCCTCTGGGGGGGGGGGGGCCCCCTTTCCCCCCAGGGCCCGCACTCCCGCCCCCCCTGCCCCCCATTCGCGGTGGAGCAGCTTTCCTGGGCTCCCCCCCCCCCACTCCCCCGGGTGTTGAGAACGCGTGACGGTTGGGTTCAGACAACGTGCTTAAACCATGCTTGGGGTGAGAGTGGTTGGCCTTGAGCGATGGGTTGTGGTGTTGGTTCAGCACCGCTGAGCCCACGGTTCACCACCCTGACAACAGACCATGCGTTCTCTTACTTATTTATTTGATTTCTGCACTGCCCATTAGTCAAAAGTGGCTCTCTGGGCAGTGTACAAAGTCATAAGAGGCAATATATACAATAAAAACCACATCAGTAGATCAGATATAGAAATAGATCAAAATAGCAACTGGGGGTTGGGGGGACAACAGGCACAACTTAAGTTAATCCAGGGGTATAGTAGAATTGGAACAGAATAGATACCAAATAGTTAATGTGATTAGAAGTCCTTTAAAAGTTATGCTAACTATTAAAATATGGGGCAAATAAAAGTTTTTTTCCTGGCACCAGAAAGAGTGGAGAGAGTGGCTGATTCTAGAGCCACCTCCAAAAAGGCCCTTCCCCTCATAGTCATTTAGTCATATTAAAGTTACCTTATTAGTTATTTATCTTCATGTCAGGATCTGTACAGAATTAACATTCTGGATGCTCCCATTATAGGGGGCAATGTGAGGTTGGTGATGAAGAAACTTTTAACCGGATGTGGGGCTGCATGTAAATTGGCCTAATTTCCTTGAGTGCTTTAGTGAGTCTGGGGAGGTTATTTTGTCATACACACTTTTACATTGTCCGTAAAAATTCTTAGGATTGTTTAGTTTTGGAAAATGGAAAGTTAAGGTTAAAATGTGCACATCTTCCAGTTCTTTCCTGCTGAACATAGGCTTCCTTTGTAAATAAACGAATGATTTTGTTGTGATCATTCTGACAGGCATGTTTGTCTGTGAGTTCTCAAAAAGTAATGTGAAGATGAGTTAGGCAAACTAACAGAGTGGATCCATGGGGAAATTTACCAGCTGTAGTTTTTAGGATTGTTCACGTCCTTGATGTATGTTCATTATGTCATACTGGACCAGTGGACAGTTTAAAGGTACTGTTCTATACCTGCTGGGGCAGAATAGAAGCCCCACAGCTCCCAGCATTCCCCTACCAGCATGGCTGGCTGAGGAATCCTGGGAGTTGTAGGACTTTTTGAATCACTGAATCTGCAAATACTCTCTAGGATGCTGCTGCTGGTGATGCGCACAATTGTCATATCAGCATATCACTGTTCTGTGGAGAGCTGGGACTTTAATGAAGACAGAGGGCTAGGGGGATCTTCCATACTGCAGAAAATGATAGTGTATTAGGCTTAGGGATGTGCTAGTCCTGCTGAGATAAAAGGTATCTTTACTTGGGTAAAATACTACTGCAAACACGGAGTTTTGCTCTGTTTATGTGTCATTAAATAACTACCCCATTTTGGAGAACTTTTAAAAGATGTTGCAGATGCACTGGATCGTTGAGCAGGAGTTTGTGTTGTTGGAAAATATTTTGTGATGTCAGGGCCTTTCTTTTTTCAGTTTGCTTGTGCTGGGAAAAGCATTGCTCACATTGGCATTCTTGTTTTTAAACCCACTAGTTCAGAAAGAAAGCCTACTAAAGTCAATGGGCTTCCAATTAGACGTGTCTATGTTTTGGGTATGAATTAGTATCTTCGGCTGTCGATGTTCACAGCAGTTATTAAGCATAACATGCAATTATCAGACATTAAGAGGTTTGCAATTCACTGCCAATTTTCAAGCATGGTGAATCAATTTGGACTCCAGTGAACCTAACAACTTATAACACATTGTAAAAATTGCAATAATGTAACCTTGAACTATTAATAACAAGGGTTGGGTTGCCTCCTGCCCATGAGCCAAAATAAGATGCTTTTAAATTTGCTCTGTTACAATTCCTTCATGGTTTATATCCATGAGATCTCAATCTCATTTCAATTTGTCTGTCTCAGGGGCTGTCACTCATTTTACACTTTCTGTAGGGGTTGGCTGGGATGAGGGCATTTCTCACATGGACTTCAGGTGCCAACATAGCTTGAAGTGCCTGATCATGATTAATCTTGGATGTTCAGTAGGGTCTGGCCTGGTTGAAATCTGGATGGATTACTTAAATGTTGTGAATCACCCAGAGAGCCTCAGTTATAGGCGGTATAGACATGTAATGTAAGATGGTGGTGGTGGTGGTGGTGGTGGTGGAGGAGGAGAAATGAGAACACTGACTATCTTCCTTCCGGTTGCCTAGAACTTACCTGGGTGGCTTTGGTGGAAGAAAATACGAATGCTTGCATGAGAGGGTGTGCGTGAGTGATCCCAGTTGTGAACAAATCTATGTGCATACAAGGTAGCTGTGACATTTCAAAACATTATATTATAAATATGGGCTGTGTGCATGTTCTTGTGTAGGGCCTTCTAGGTACGTAGCTTGCTATTGGCAGTATGACTTTAAAGACCCAGAAAACAGCCTTATATGAAGTTACATCGTTTGCTGTCCAGCCTGTGACTGGCAGCAGCGAGTTTCACTCTGGAATCTCAGCCATTTGCTTACAAAGCACACACTTTGCTGTTGTTGAGTCACTGCCAGCTTGTTCACATGGATGTGCCATTGATCTCTGACCTCAAGGAAGAAGATGGGCAAGAAATCAAAATAAATGATGGTCCTGGATAAGTTCTTTGCTTTATAGTGCATAGCTTGGCTGATTGCCTAAGCAGAATCAAATGAGTTGCCCTTTAGCACCTTTGTGAAGTTAGGAGAGCCCTGCTGGATCCGTCTGGCATGCTGTGCCCAGGCTGCTTAGCCAACCATGCCCATGAGAAGTCCACAAGCAGTACCCTCCTCCTTGTCCTCCTCCTCCTGTTCTCCCACAACTGTTGTTGAGGGGCATATTGCCTCTGATACTGGTGATAATCTATAGCCATCATGACTAGTAGCCATTAATAGCACCATCCTCCATGAATTTGCCTAATCTAAGGCTGAAGTTGGGCCCAGACAAGGCAGAGGTGGCAATGGTGGATATATTAGCATTTGGGGAAGTGTATTTACCTGTTTCCCACTGGGTACCTTTTTTAAACCCATAGTTTCAGTCTCCCCCAAAATCAATCCTGTGGAATGTGCTCCCCAGCATGTAAATACACATCTTCACTGCTTTCCTGGGGAGGAAATAGCTACATTGACAGGGGAACATGTCAGAGGATTTAAATTTTAAAGTTTCATTGGATATACTGATTTAATTTAAAAATATTTTGCTACTGGTAATGCTTATTTCTTACTGCTATTTTCTGGCAGCTCACTAATTGAAAACCTTTCCTTTTTTGGATTTTTACTAGTTTATGTTTGTCTTAAGTTTTCTAGAGACATAGGTCACTATCCTAGACTCAGTTGCATCTTCTGAACTCAGATACATAGGGCTGCCCTGTTAAAATGATATACAGAACTTTTCAAAATGCAAGCAGACATTAGCCATATCCTTATAGTTCTCTAGTAAGCTTCCGAGATTTCTTCATTACGAATTGGTATTTTTTTTCTTTTGCTGCCTTTTCTTGGCTAATAATGTCTCTGAGTTTTCTTTTGCATTACATGTATGTGGATAAGTATATCGAATAAACGCCAGTCCGCAGCAGGTTGTACATCGTCCTGAAATTACTTGCCTGAAATTACGATACATGCAGCATTTCATCTGCAGGAGTGCTCTGACCCCTGTATGCTAGTGCGATCGGCTGCGGCTTGGCTACTTAGCAGCTGATTCCCACAGAACCACATGGCTGGAGGAGTCCCACCAGCTCCCAGCCGGGAACAGATCAGCAGCGGATCAGTGGGCTCTGCTGTGGGCGCATCCCTTGTCTTCCTTCGTCAGGCACTTGCTCGCTGCATGCTTGAGGGGAAGGTGGGCGCTCACTGGGGCGCTTTTGTGAATTACGTGTTGGGGGGAGGCAGCACATGGGTCGAGTTAGCCCTGCGCAGTCCACAGTGGTGGGTTATGAGCCTCGTTTGCGCCTTGCCTGTGCTCGGGAGGGGAGATTCCGTGTGGTTCGTTAGCCGTGCACGAAGTGCCCTACGGTCCTAGGACTCCTCCTCGGGCTGCGGGTGGCTTGTTGTGACATACTGACCCAGTGGCGTGATTTGTCAGCAGCTTCTCGGCACACCTGCAGAGTTGCCAGGCAAGGGCCGCAAAAGCCGGGCCGCTCATCTTGACCTTGCCGGTGTTGCCTCCAGCCTCTGCCATCCGTTGTGTTCACTCCTCCAGTAATAATGAAATGGCACCTGGGAAAGTCTGTCTCTCATTCCTAACCTCCTAAAAATGTTTTTTGCTGTTCTTAAAGTATGAAAATGGGTTATATTGTATTAAATTTGAAAAGGCAGGTCCTGCTGGATCAGGCCAGCATTCTGTTCGCATGGTGGCCAGCTGGTTTTACCTGGAAGACCCCCAGGCAGGACATGATGTAACAGCACCTCCTTCCCATGTGACTGGGAGACATAGGCAATCATCCTCCAATAAGGAGGCCCCATATAGTCATGAGGACTACAACTACATTGAAAATGAATGTAGTACCTTGAATTGTTTGTTGTATGTGGTAGTCCTTTATTTATACCTGGCAGGTATTTGCAGAAAGCCAGTGGGGTTAAGAGTGTAGGGCTGGGACTCAGGTGATCTGGGTTCTACTTTCTACTCATCCATGGAACTCACTGGGAGACTTTGGGTCAGTC